TGTGTGTGTGTGTGTGTGTGTGTGTGTGTGTGTGTGTATGTGTGTGTGTGTCTGCACTAGAAGGACGTCCCCCACCATACACTGGAGAGGGGTGTGTGTGTCTGTCTGTCTGTCTGCACTGGAAGGACATCCCCCACCATCCACTGGCTGCACTCGCTGCTGAGAGGGAGGTGGGCTGGCTGCTGCCCCTGTGTGCTCAGTAGTGATGGTCCTTTTCTCTGGCCACCTCAAGCCACAACACGACAGGACATGACATGCCAGCCCTTGGGGACCTCCTGGGGCTCAGCCAGAGATCTGGGTAGAATTTGTCCTCAGGACTTGGGAGGCTTCTCTCCCCAGCTTGCCCCCACTCAGCCTCCCGCTGCTGTGGTTCCTAAAGCCAGCCAGGTGGGGGTGTGCCTTCCCGTTCACCCTGGTGGCTCTGGGGTGCCCCAGCATGCCTGGTGCAGGTACCTCTCCATGTCTCAGTCAACAGCAGCCACCCCGCCGTCGAGGGACCCGCGAGCTCCACAGCCTGCCCCGTCTCACCTCCACGGCAGCCTGTGTCCTGCAGCGAATACCAGTGCCTTTTGTTAGAAAGTCGGCTTCATTCCTTTGCGCTGAGGCAATGCTGCATGATTCATAAATATCGTGTTTCAAAATTGGTATTCCCATGAACTTGCCAAAACAAGTCACTTCCCGCTAGCTCTCCCTCCGGATTCCCTTGCTGCTTTCCCTGGACACTGCCCAGATTCGCCTCGGAAGCTGGAGACCATACTGGCTCTGCTCCAAGAGCAGATGCTGTGTCCTCGGCCCTCTGCAGTGATCCAAGTCCAGTCTTCAAAACCCTTCCCCTGTGCAAAAGCCGGGAACGGTGGCTTGTGGCTTCACAGAACAGGAGGGTCGGGCGGGCACAAGGATAGAGAAGCACATCTCTTTTTCGGTGGGTGAGGATGTGGCGCTGACGGAAAGTCCTAGAAGCCTCTCCCACACTGTGAATATGCGTGTGGACAACAGAGAGGGCGAAGCCCAAGCAGACCCACTGCCCTAGAGCCCGTGGTGACTCGGGGTTGCCCTGTAGACCCTCGCAGCTGGGTCTGCCCTGCAGACCTCCATGGAGCAGCTGGGGGCTGAACTCAGGCCTTGAGGCTAGCAGTCCGTGCCGAAGCACTGCGCCACCACAGATAGTTCCGGCGCCGGCACTCTGGTCCTATGGGTGGGAACCCAGCTGAAATGGGGTTGCCTGCTTAACTAGGAGGAGATGCAGCTCAGGCCTGGTATTGCTTCTGGGCTGGCGTGGGCATCAAGCGCTCTGAGTTAGTGGCCTGGGTCACCGGCCCAGCTGACCTGTCTGGAGGAGGCGTGTTTCTATTCACGTCTCAGCTCAGAATGGAAACAAGGGGCAGGAGGGCCGCTTTCAGAGACGCCACGTCCTGCTGTTTGGGAGTCCCAGAACGGCAGACACAAGAGCGGAGCTTGGTCTCTCCTTGGCTGTGTGGTCTCTCATCTGGACTGCACCTTGGAGGCCCTGGTGCCATAGGGAGTTAACCCTTCAGCCTCCAGCCATGGCACGGGAGATGAGATTGTGAGTGTCAGTGAAGGTCTGCGGCCTGGGGGGCAGTTGCCCTACCTCCCACAGGGCTGCTCCGACCCGGGACCCTGCTTTGGGTTGGACTGGTGCGCCCGTGGTTCTTGGGGTGAAGTGAGGGAGTAAAAAACAACATCGGCCCAGCGGAGGCATGCTCTTCCCCCTGCTCTTGAGAAGGTCCTGGGGCCAAGCTGAGGCCTGGAAAGCAGGAGCCGAGTCTCCCATCTGTTGGCAGGTCCAAGACCTAAAGCCCTCCCTTCAGGAGACACGCACGGGGGCTCACTGCCAGGCCACATGAGGCAGCTCAGAGCTTGCGAGTGGAATGTATTGCTACTAAAAATACTGGCTGTTTGGGAAAATATGCTTCAATTTGACCTCCCTGACACTCTCGTTTGTTACTCTGGGTTCCTCAGCAGCTGTAAAGACTGACATCCAGAAATGGCTCTGTCCCCACCCCACCCATCTTCCCCTCCTGAACTCTCTCTCGGCTCGGGCCACACTGGCCTGCAGACCACCACTTCCCGGCAGCACTGCTGTGCGGTGTAGTGTGGTGTTGGGGCCCCAGAGGGGGCAGTGAGGTCGAGGGTGTATTTCTTGCATGGGTGGAGGAGTGAGACGGTTTTGCCCATTGCTGCAGGTCAGCAGGTTGGCTGAACACCTGGGGTGAATGCTGCTCCAACAGCCCTGGGTGCGACTCAGCTTGTTAAAAGGCAGGCCCTGTGGTGCCTTGGTGACACATGCTCCAGGGGACAAAGACTGGGCTTTCTGCTCTAGGAAGGCGTCCATCCCAGCACCCCTGGGGCAGTTCAGCCCGGCCTGTAGAGGGTCACTGTGAATCAGTGCCCACCCAGTTGCAGCAGTGTTGTTGCTGTTGACACATGAAAGTGGCCTGGGCATCGGGCTGCGTACCTTACCCACGGTCACTAGTCCCACTCGCTGCTTGGGGAAACAACGTGGCAGTCGGCTCCCAGAAAGATTGAGTCTCTGAGACCCAACTGTTGTAGAATTTCCTAAAGTGTCCCCAGTCCGCTCATGGCTGAGGTGCGCGCTCTGCAGTCCCGGAGTACGGTCCGGGGTGGGGCCCTGGGCCTTGGGCGCGGTATAGCCCGGCAGTCCTCTCCTGCCAGTGCAGAGCAGCTGCCTGGCCAGCCCTTGGGGTTTTCTGGGACCCCTGGTGGTAGGGCAGCATACTGCAGACTGGAAGCTTTCCCCTGGGGGTCCCCTTTCCTTCTCAGAGGAGGAAAGCAAAGAGGGGAGGGAGGGAGCGAGAGAGTGAGGGTGAGGGTGTGGGGGGGTGTATTGTGTTGTAATGGTGCCCCACCTCTGGCACCTACAGAACCCATCCAGCTGTCTTCCTGGTTGAAAGGTGATTGCGTGCGAGCCAATGGGGGGCCAGGTGAGCTAGTGCCATTGCCAGGGGTGGGCATGGGGGTTGGGGGGGAGGCTTGCACAGGAAGCTGCCCAGAAGCCCGGCCCCGAAAGGGTCTGTGCGCTGATCTCAGCCCTGTCGTCCTCATGAGTAATCTGGGAGTTGTTTACCGCGCCCCGCCCGCCCGAGGCTGGCTCTGAATGCTCTTCATTATGAGGCCCCGTCACTGTGGAGCCCCTGGGAACAGGCAGCTAGCGGCGGAAGCCTGGCTCTGGCTGCCTTCAGAGGGGGCTGCGTGATGGCCAGCAGCCAGGACTGAGCTGCCCTGCACAGTCAGAGGGGCCCCGGGGAGGCAGCAGCAGAGGCAGCATGAGGGCCTGTAGCTAGCCCCACATGCGGCAGGGTGAGTTAGCGGTGTCCTAGCTGTACGTGCCGCTGCCCGTCCCTAGACTGCCCTGGTCGTGGGAGGTGACTGGCCAGCTGGCTTTTTTGTCACCCCCGAGGTCTCCAGCTGGGCACTCGCAGTGCTGGTGCGCAGCCTCCGCCCTGGCTCATCCTGGCGCCCCTGCCCAGCTGTGCGCTTGCTTGCCTTGGGCTGCGCGCTCCATGGACTTGGGGCGCAGTAACCTGGCCCGGCGCCCCGTGTAGGATTTCTTTGTCGCTCCTGCCACCATGGCTACCCAACTGGAGGGCCTGAGGCGAGTGGGGAGGGCGCTGATGGGGGCCCCTCTCCCCGGTGTGCCCCTGAAATGCTGTGTTGCCCCCTAGCACGATTCTGGAGGAGGAGAAGGTTCAGCAAGAGGAGCGCATGAGGATGGAGTCCAGAAGACAGGTCACCGTGTCCTGGGATTCCGGAGGCTCCGACGAAGCACCGCCCAAGGTAGAGCGGGACCCCCGCGGGCAGGCCCCCCGCTAACTAGAGGAGCCCTTCTGGGGCCCCGCCAGCCCCTCCTCCACACCCTGCCTGTCCAGTCCAGCCCAGCCAGCTGCACCCAGGCTTTAAGGCAGCCTGACTGAGCTCAAAGAGCCTGTGTGAAGGCCCCTCGGTCGGGTCAGGGTTAACCCTGCAGTGGGCTCCAGCTGAGCCACCTGCCTTCACCCCCCTGCTCCTGCGTCACAGGGTGACTCTCAGAACCTTGGACACCCGTCCACCTGCCTGCCTTCCCTCTTGCCAGGGCTGGTGACTGATGTGGGAAGGAGCACCTGCCTCCGTGCCCTTGCTGCCCCCTCCCTTTTCCAGTCACTCCCAGGCTGTGTGTGAACTGCCCCCAGGGTCGTGCTCAGGGCCCCCATGCTGGCCACCCTGAGCTCAGTTGTCGGTCTCTAGAACACTCACGGGTAGAGACTTCTTTTGCAGTTAGCAAAAGTTGGTTAATGTAAGTCTTTATTTGGTTGTCTTTTCTGAAACTATTCAGAAATCTATGGATGCAGACATTACTTAAAACATGTTTCATCATGGTGCCTGACTGGAAGAATTATGTTTATCGGTCAGGTTTTTACACAACCCGGCAACAAGCATGGTGGCATACGCAGGTGACTGCAAGTGAGTGACCCAGTCCCAGGGCTCTGAGAGGGGAGGGCTCAGCGGTCAGCCGCCTGGCAGAAGGACCTTGTCATCTGTCCACAGACTGTCCTCCAGACTGGCCACTCAGAGCCAGGGCCATTCTCTGTCTCCGCTCCCGTCTAACAGCAGCAAGACCTTCCACCTCCCACAAGAAGTCTGGGCCCTCAGGCCAGCCTCTGAGGCCCTCCACTTCCTGTCTGTCATCCCTCAAGGGCACTCAGGGAACAGGATGCTCTCCTGCTCCTACCTCCGGCCTGGACAGCAAGCAGACCTGCCCCTATAGGGAGGGCTCGGCCCCTCGCCCTAAACACTCTACACCTCACTCTTGACCTTTGTAAAATGAGGGCTGGTGATCCCTCCCTCGTTCGTGGGATGCTGGGGGCAAGTGGGGCTGTGTGCCACCTCACTGATGTAGTGTGTGAAAGGGGATGTGTGGATCTGGTGAGCTGAGATGGCGTGTTTCATCACGTGTGTGGGCTGGTACGTGTGGTTGGTGCTGTGAGATGGTGCATTTTGCTCCAGATGACAGGGTTCAGGGCAGGTGGTGTACTTGGTAAGAAAACAGGTAATGACTGCAGCTCCCCTTGAAACTCACTCAGTCTGAGCATTCTTTTGTGTTATGATCTGTTGGATTTTTCAATAACCCTACTGGGTGACTTCTTTAAAACCACAGTGTTGGGTTCATGACACGGGGCCACATGGACCTCTGGTTTTAGAAGCTTCCTCTGCCTAACTGTCTGCCAGCTTAAGCAGCGGGGTGTGCGTCGCATATTGAAAGTGTCTTGTGAGGCTCTTCCTTCACTGCGGTGTTGCCCTCAGTACCAAGGCTTGGTGGTCATAAAAGTGCCGCCCCAGGCCCGTCCTTCGCAAGCTGAGGTCTGGCTGAGAGAGGTCCCACGAGCGCTTTACTGCTGCCTTGAAGGAGCAGGCTGCCCACTCCAGGCTCAAGTGCCCGTGGCTGTGAAGGCCTCGGTGCACAGGGGCGGTGCAGGTGCTGGAGGTTAGAAGCGGCAGTGGGAGGCCGGCCCTGCTCCCTCGGCCTCCTCTCCAGAAGCAGATTCTGCCTCTCTGGTCGCCTCTGCGCCAGCCGTGTTCCCGCTTCCTCCGGCAGCTGCCTCTCTGCCTGTGGTCAAGGAGAGCCGGCGGCCGTGCAGGACAGGGCAGACTTGTCCGTGGCGTTTCCGAGGCTAATCTATCTTTACAGAAGCAGACAGCCTCGGAGCGGCTGGTGGGCTCAAACCACTGACCTCTCAGTTGGCAGCCCAGCCCTACCCCACTGCTCTGCCAGCTACTTGACAGCAGCTGCGTTCACTGACAGCTCTTAGGTTCAAGGAGGAGCGGTGGCTTTGTTCGATCATTTGTGTGGAGAATAAAGTTTTCTAACGGAACTTAAAACGAAGACATTTGCCCTCTCCGTTTAAGATTCAAAATCAATGTCTAGTGTCAGAAAGCAGGACAGCTACAAGCTGGTTGTGAAAGTACTTCATGAGGTCGTCCTCAGTACTTAGTGCCCAGCTCTCCCCACATGTTCATCTTTGGGGACGTTGGCTGGAGAAGAGCCCCGCACTGGAGTAGCTGGCCTGTGGGCCTGTCACTGCAGGGTCTCAGACCAGAGGTCATCCTTGGGCCACAGGGGTCCCAGGACCAGAGAATCAGAGCAATGTCCACAGCGGAACTGTGCCTCCACGTGCCTTTCCCTGCACGCATGTTAGATAGTGCAGCCACTGCGGCCAGAAGACAGCTGGAGTAGGGGAGGCAGCAGCGTGTCAGCCTGTCCCTCCAGGACCTGTGTCCACAGCGGGGAAACAGGCCAGTTTACCCCAAAATGCCCTGGATGAGGCGGCAGCAGCTTCTGAGGGTGTTGGCAGGGTTCCTTAATCTAAGAGCCAGCTGCCGGCCGGCAGGGGAAGCATGCCCCTGCCAAGACCTACGGCAGGGCCTGGGGCTGTGTCTCGGGCTAGGTTGGTTTTCCTCCCATTCAGCCTTCTTTTTCTAACGTAGGCCGCTCTTTTCCGCACAACTCTGACGGCGTCTCTGACAATCTATGCAGTGTGGGGCTGGAGGGACTTCAGGGGCCTGTAGCTCAGCCCCATTTCATCCAGGAAAGAAGAGAAGAGAGGCCAGGAAGTTCATCACTTGCCCCCGGTGCCCCACCAGAAAGCGCCCAACTAGTGCCCATTTGTGGGCCCCCAGCTCCTAGGGTCCCCTCCCCCTCCCGCTCAGGGTGCAGAAAACATCCAGCTATCCCATGCACAAAGGCTTTGGCAGTGGGTTTTGATGTTGTTGTGGTTGTTGCTATTTTCATCACTTTATTGAGATATAACTCACCTGTTCAGGTGTGTGGTGCCGTGGTTTCTAGTGCATTCACAGATGGTGCGGCTCCCGTCAGGTGTAGAACATTTTCATTGCTCCACCAAGACACCCATTAGTGGTCAGTTCATTCCTGCTCTGCCCCCCAGCCCCGCCTCTCTGGCCTTTGCTGTCCTGGACGCTGACATGCGTGATGGAAGCGTGTGTTCTGTGGCCTTGGGTCTGGCTCTCATGATGCTGCAGCCAGCGCGTGGCAGGACCATGCCAGTGCGCCCTCCCACTTCTCAGGGCTGGTAAAGACAGTTCTTATGCTGCTTTTTTATTATTGGTCTTATTTTGGTTTTGTTTTTTTAACTAAAGTATAGATTTGCCAAAGTAAAAGGTGGTGCTCATTCACCTGCTGATTTGTCCACAGCCCAGCAGACCAGGCTACCCCAGTCCGAGGTCCAGTGAAGGGTTTTACCCTAGCCCCCAGCACATGGTGCAGAGCAATCATTACCAGGTAGGTCCATCCCGGCAGACACACAGCCATGTTCTCTCGCGCTCCAGTGGGGTGGGATAGGACATATCTGTAACTTTTGTTATGTGATTAAGAGTGTAGTTGGGTAAGCAGAAAGCTAAGAACAACGTTGTCTTAGCCTAGCACAGCCTGAGAAAACATGGTCCTTATGTCCCCACATCAAGGGCTTGACTCTGTCACACTTTTGGGCCAGGTGCCCGCCCCCAACTGCTCTGCCAAAGGTGCAGAGTGCACCTAGTATTCCCTTCTACATAAAGGTGCACCAAGCTGGGAGTGGGGTGGGGGAGGTGTGTTCTGGAAGAAAATCCAAATTCACCTTCACAGAAACGAGATGAGAGTCCACGTGGGCAGTGTGGGCAGAGGGAGAGTTTGGGTTGGGGTGTCCCTGTATGCAGGGTGTAGTACATACACATTAATAGGTCACTCAGGAAAGAAGAGGCCCGGGCCCAGTGCCTCCCCTTCTGTTTGGGTTTTAAGTTGCTGGCCTTGTCTGAGGTGTGAAGCACGCAGGTCTTCATTATGACAAATGCACACCAGGGCGTTCCCACCCCCGTCGGGTTATAGAACGTAGCTGTGAGCCCAGAAAGCTCCCTGCTTACCTCTCCCCAGGCAGTCCGACCAGCCTGCACTCCGTCTAGAACTCCGAGTCCTGCTGCGCTCTCTCGCCTGTGAAGGTCGGAGTCCTGGCTCCTGAGAGGAGCCTTCGATGAAAGGGCTGTGCCACCGTGGTGCCAAAGCAGCTGACACCGGGGTCTGCCAGGGCACCCGGGTTCCGGAAGGGCTGCTGCTGCTGCTGAATCCCAGACATTTTCCCCCGTGAGAGAAGGCCACAAGTCACTTAGCTTTCCAGAATGTTCTGGGTTTACTGAGAGGGGAGCCCACTCCCTCCACCCTGCTCCTCAGAAAGAGTCCCCAGGCACGGAGACGCGAGCCTTGTATTCCTCGCACGCCTCTGCAGCACATGGCCAGCCTGACGCAGCCAGCCGCCAGGTGGGCCTGCTTGTGGGCAGAGAGGGAAAGGCCCTGTGCCCGAGGTCAAAGGGAGCCTTCTGCCTGCAGGGAGGGAGGGGCGCTTTCCCACATGGAGAAGACCGGCACTCTCCCCACACCTCAACCCCGCCCTTCACACCCCCACCATGAGGAGTGGAGCGCTGGCCGGGAAGAGATGGAGGACGGCCTCCCCCAGCAGTGCTTGTCACTCCATCCAGGAAGGCAGAGCTCACGAGTTCCGTCTGTGGCCCCTTCCCCTCCCAGCGCCGTGGTCCCTCAGGTTTGGTGGGGGCTCGGCAGAGTGGGAGCCCAGGAGCATCTCCGAGTCAGTCCTCCCTCCTTTTCCCTCTCCTCCCCTCCCCCTCCCTCTGGACAACCTGATGCTGGCTTATACCCACAGAAAGCCTTTGCTGAGGGCTTACAGGTTTATGTGAGGATGATCCGAGCTGGATGCTCTTTGTCTCCTAGAAGCCACTTTCCGTCCTGGCTGTGAGGTGTGAGGCAGCAGGTCTGCAGGTGCTGGGGTCCGGGCGTGGCTGTCATTGAGGCCCATTGTCCGCCGACTACCCTGCGCCCTTGCTCTGCTACGGGCAGTGGGCTGTGCAGGCGGTCTTGTCAGAGTCACCTGACTGCCCCTCATTCACAGGTATCTGGCTACCCTGGCTCGCACGGACTCCCCGCCATGGCCGGCAGCATCTACCCTGGCCAGGCCACCCTGCTGGACCCGACGGACTCTTGGGACCACAGGCCTCAGGAGATAGCCATGTGGCCCCCCAACCTGGAGGTACGGGTGCTGCCTGCTGACCCTGGGCCCACAGTCCCTTTCACTTCAAAATGTTGACATCTCTTGATTTTGGTGACCTCATGTTGGTTAGATTACCCAACTGTGCGGCGCTTCTGGTTGGGGAATGTTTTCCTGTAAAAGAAACCCAGGGAGAGACATTCAGCCCAGCAGCCATGTGTGTGAAAGGCGGAGCCCCCAGCTCCGGGGGTGTCAGTGCACTGAGCTCTCCTGGCGCCCGGAGGTCTCCCTTCTGGATGGCTCTGCTCTCTGCTTGGTAATGCTGTCTCCAAGCTCCTCACACCGGCTCTGTGGGCTAGCGGTCGTGTACGCTGTGAGGCTGCCCAGCACACCTGATTAATTTGCCACCTGCAGAACAGTTGTCCCCAGCAAGTACCAGAGGCCAGTGTCTCCCACCGTGTTACTCGGCTCCGCCTTGAGAGCCGTGCCCAGAGCACATTGAGGGCTTCCTGAGATATCCAGTGTGTGGTTCCCGCTGCCCACAGGACCCTGCGGCCCTGGAGACACGGGGGATCGGGCAGGTGTTGCCGGCCCATCTGATGGAGGAACGGCTGATCCGGCAGCAGCAGGAGATGGAAGAAGACCAGCGCTGGCTCGAGAAGGAGGAGCGGTTCCTGGTAATTGGGGCTCGGCACCGTCCCCCCCGCTCTGTCAGCCTCGCAGTGCGCTCTGAAGTTCACTGTCCACAGCAAGGGTGTCCGTTTTGACCGCTCTCACAGTGTACACTGACTAGCCTGTCACTGAGGGAACTGTGAGCGTGCAGTCGACTGCGACATGCTCAGCCTTGTCCCAGTGTCCTCGCTGGACAGCGGACGATGGAGTGACAGCTGAGAGTTCAATCCTGGCTCTGCCGTTTACTCACCCTGTGACCTTGGGGAGGCTGTGTGGTCTTTCTTCCCAGAAGCAGAGAAAAGGGTGCCCGCCCTATGTGGTCACTGAGAGGGCCTGCGGTTCTCAGAAAAGCCTAGAAGGTGCCCTGAGCACCACGTTTGTTTTCACCACAAAACTCCGCCTCCCCTTCTGAATGTCCTCAGACACACCAGGGGGCTTGTCCCCTAGTGGTGGTCAGTGGCCATCCCGCTTCATCTGTCTGTGGGGTGGTGTTTTCTGAATGGTGGGCCATGGGCGAAGGGGCTCTGGTAGGACAGTGAGAACCCCAAGGTCAGCAGTTCGAACTCAGCAGCAGCTCCTTGGAGGAGAGCTGAGGCTGGCCGTCCTGGGAGCCAGCAGGAGCACTTCTGCCCTGTCCTCACAGGGCTGCTGTGAGCTAGAGTCGGCTTAGTATCAGTGAGCAGATGTGTCAGGCGTCTCCATCAGTGAAGGCCGTTCTCCTCTGGGACCATAATTAGGGTGTCCAGTACAGCTGCCTTGCAAGCCTGGGGCAGGAACCTGAGACACCGGAACCGCCGCTTGCTCGGGCCACTAGCACAGAATGGTGCACGTAACCTACACACATCCGCCCGTCCACTCTACATGACTAATGATCCCTCGCGCATTATGCCCTGCTTAGCCTCTGAGGGGTGTTCTGGCCACCTACCCTTCCTTTCCTTGCCCAAAGATTCCTACCCGTGGGTGCGGAAGGGCAGCTGCAGTACACTTTAAATAGTCCTTGGGCTCATCCCTCTGAGCACAACGAAGCCACTTCTGCCGCCTGTGCTGCCTTCTGGCCCTCCTCTCTGGTGAGACCTCATTCCCACCTGGCATAGGTCACGTCTTGTGTCTGTTGCTCCTGTGGGCCACTGTTACTTTTCAAGTGTCCCCAGAATCCTTATGATTCTTTTTGTAAACAGAATCGCCCTTCATTGCAAGTGAATGGATGGCCGCACAGCCTGGGACCCCGGAGCACCTGTGCTGCAGTGACAGTTTTCCTGTAGCAGAAAGACACCAAAAAAAAAAAAAGTAAAATAAAATAAATTAATTTGTATAAAAAAGAAAGACACCAGCCGAAAGGACACCTTGGCACAACCAGAGAGGGTTCCCACGGAGCAACCTGTGTCCCCAGGGAAGTGGGTGTGCGCAGACAGACCAGGGTCCCCTGGGGGCTCCCTGGGCCCGAGTGCAGAGCCGGTGCTGCGCTGTGTGCAGGTCCTACCAGGCTTGGGGACACAGTGTAGACATGCTCGGAGTGGAGTGCCGTCTTCAGTCCTCCTTGGGCCGGTGACTTAATTAAGTCCCCTCCTGTGTGGTGCCGGCTGGTTGGTTTCTGCTCTTACAAACCGTGCCGGCAGTCAGGTCTCCACCAGCGTGGGTGTCCGGGGGAACCTCTGAGAATCTGGACGGGCGTCCTGGCTCAGTGCTTTGCCAGGACTGTGCACGTGTGGGATGAGGCAGCTTGCCCCAGCAGCACAGTCGGGTCTCAGGACTTGCCTTCCTAGGGCTCGTTTGCTCCATCTGCCTCTGCAGACCTCGCCCTTGATGTCGGGGTCGTGGACACAAACGGCCCTTTCTTTTACAGCCCCTTCCTCCAGAAGCCCCTTGGGGACAGAGAGAGCACATGGGAACAGGAGCATCTTTCTGTGCTGTCAGGATTCTGAGGGATTTCAGCAAATCTTGAGCTTGCAGGCAGGCTGGGAGACCAGTTGCACATTCTGCTAATCAGGGTGACTCTGTTGGGAAGCTGGGTTGGTCCCAGGAACATCGCTGGGTGGCCCTAATCCTAACTCTCATTGCTTGCACCCCCAGAAAGCCTCTTTCCTCCCATTGATGTGGACTTCAGAAAGCAAGCTACGTCACACCCCTGGCCCAGGGGAGCCACCTGGTGGCCATGCTGGCCATGGGAGCCAGGCCTCCAGCAGCATAGTGCCAGAAAGACCCCTTGGAATTTGCTAGGCAAACAGACGCCGGAAACGCATTCCAGGCTGAGGGGGCAGTGGGTCAGGATGGATTGTGGGACGCTGCTAGTGGGAAAGCAAATGAGGTTCCAGCACCCCTTGGTCCCCGAGCCGGCTGTGTTCACCAGCCCAGCAGCTGGTGGCTGTGTGGGCTTTGTTCCTGGCTTTTCACTGAGGAGACACACGTAGGTCAGCGATGGTGGGCTTGCGGAACCCAAGCCCCAGGCATCCAAAGACAAGGGGCTTCAGAAAGTTGGTGAGAAAGTGGAATTGTGAAAATGTGCAGCTTCTCCACAAACTTTCTGACGGTCCCTCGTCCTCGTGGGCTTCCTTTTCCTATGTGGCCCTGCCCCAGGGCCGTCCTTGTCTGAGCTTCTGTCACCCTGAACCCCTGGCTTGCTCTTGGGACATTCTGTCATCCCACGGAAAGAGCTGTTTGGTGTCTGCCTTCAGCCGCACACCCGAGTGAGGCTTGTCCCTGGCGTGAGTGACTGCAGCAGTTCATTCCTGTGACTGCCCTTGCCATGGCCTGTGAATCATCCGGGCAGGCACCCCTCCCCCAATTCCTGTGCTTATTGGTTGTTTAAAGATAACCAGCTGTGTGGGCGCGCCCTCTGACCTCCTGCTGTAGCAGGGAGAAGGAAAACCAAGCTCTGCATCAGGGTGCCATGGGCTGATTGACGTCTGTACTGCCTGGTGGGACATGGCCCACCCTCCAACCCTCCTTAACTGACTGTGACACCAGCTGCCCGCCCCACCCACCCCCAGCACGCTGCTGCTCAGCTGGCCCCCCGCACTGTGTTACAGCAACTAAACAACTCACAGACAATGCCCGCGATCTTGGGGTTCACAGGCTACAATTCAGATGAGAAACACTCAGGACAGGCCGCTCTCTGACCCTTGGCCTTCTTGGACTGGCCTCGGCCCTGCCCCTGCCGCATTACAAAGTTCTCTGGGGCTGCCACTCCGCTGTAAGCCTCAGGCCTCAAGCACGCTGCTTCCCTCCAGGCCCCAGTGAAGTGCCCAGGGGCACCCACTCCGCAGCCAGCCTCCTGCCCAGAAGCACCTGGCGTCATCTGCTTCATGGGAAGTCCACCTGGCTCTCAGGCTCTGACTTCTTGTTCTGCTGCCACCGCTGCCCTGGCTCTCGTCTCGTCACGGCTGCCGTGTCCTGGATCCAGGAGGAGGCATGTCAGGCAAAGGCCTGGCTCTTCTACGACTGGTAGTGAGAGCCCCTCCCCTGCTTCTGCGATGGCTGGTTCGAAACCCAGCAGGCTGGCACTTTGTCTGCCCAGTCAGCTCCGTGCTCAGACGCGTTAGGGAAGGAAGGAGTAATTAACGGCTGTGGCGGCAACTGTTAGGTGCCATCAAGCCAGTTCCAACCGCAGCAACCCTGTGCCTGACAGAGCCAAGCACTGCCCCGTCCCGCACCATCCCCACGACGTCCCTCCGCTTCCACCCGTTGTTGCGGCCACCGCGTCAGTCCATGTTGTTGAGGTCCTTCCTCCATCACTGTACCCCCACTTTACCGAGCATGATGCCCCACAGTGAACAGGTCTCTGCAGAGCTTCCAGACTCAGCACAGACACGAGAAGGAACCAGCCGTCCACTCTGGAGGGAGGAACTAGCCACTGAAAACTCCATGTAGAGTGGAGACGCTGCCCTTGCTGAGCGCTGAAGTGACCCACCGCGTCGTGCCATTCAGTCTCCTCTGGGCAGTGCCTGCTCCTGCCTTGCCATGTCCATCTTGCGGGGTTTCCCTCTGTAACCCCCAGATGGGAGGAGCGCTCTCTGTTAGGTACCAACCTGTGTCCTCACGTGTGGGCAGGCGTTCGTTTTTCATCAGGCTGAGCGTGGTGGCAGCCAGCAAGCACTGCAGTGGTGAAGCTCCACAGAGGCCAAACCCCACATTCTCCCATAGCAGAAACTTCCAGAGAATGGCCCCAGCCACAGCAGACAGCCCTCTGCCCCACCCCCTTCTCTTCCTCTCTGAGATAGCTGTGTGGCCGCCCCGCCGCACTGCCCAGTGCACAGTCCTTTCCGATGGGGCTCTGGGCTGAAGACAGCCCTGCAGTCTGAAAACGAGAAGCCTGCCTGATGTTCCGAGCAAGGACACCGAGGTTTGGACTTGCTCCCCTCATAAGGCAAACCACAGTCCGTCGGATGGAAGAGGAATGTCCCAGAGAGGGTTCAGGACACGTCAGTCGGGCAGGATTCTGACCTCTGCTGCTGAGTGAGGTCGTTGCCCCTGTCTGGTCCCTCCGAGTTTATTCCAGGCTTGAGGACAGGCTGGTAGTGACAGGAGACAAGACTTTGAGTTGCAAGTCCTGAGTTTAAGGCCTCATTGGCCAGTTGGAGGTGACCCAGCCAGAGGAGGGAGATGCAGGTGTCCCCATGGGAGAGCGTGCTCACTGAGGCCTGAACTGTGTGTGTTACCTGGTCTTGCTCTCAGGAGAGTACCATGAGGCAGTGGCTTTGACCAACAAGTCTCGTGTCTCATAGTTCCGGAGGTAGGAAGTCCGAATTACAGCGCTGTCTCTAAAGGAAGGTCCTTGTGGGCTCTCCACATCTGTTTACCCAATGTCCCCAGGAGATCTTCACCTGCCTTGGCATCATCAGCACCGGGACCACAGGTCCTTGGGACACGCTTCCATTCTTGGTGGTACTCAGGTCCCTCCGATCTGCCCTTGTGTCCCAAGAAGGGATTGACTCATAACACACCGTGTCCTGCTGTCATGTGCCGTGCCTCGGTCACCACGCTGCCCCCAGTCCTACCTGGGGCTCATCGCAGAGGGGAGGAGTTACCCCTCACCACCTGGAGGATAACTGCACTGCCCCACCACATTGTCACATCTCAGGGGTCATGGTTCAGTCCATGGCATTGGTAGCCAAGAACTGGGAGCAGCCTGTGTAGCTATGAACATCCCAGTGGGTAAATGCTCAGACATTCGGGTGCCGAGCAATAGCGTGGACACACGGGGGATCAGCCTTGAGGGGCGTTAGGGGACACAGAAGTGACCGTATGTGTGTGTGTTTACGCGCGTGAGTGCTATGGGGCAGGGGGTGCGGCACGGGCTCCCTTGGTGGGTTGTGGGGCTACTGGGAACCAGTGGCCCTCTCTGCCTCTGAGTCAAGCCTGTGAAAGCTGGACCCAAGCCAGGGCAAGACACACGAGGCCTCTACGGTGGAGCAGTGCCCCATCTCCCACTGTGTGGACGTGTGAGCTTGCGATGCAGGGCTGCACTCAGCACTGAGAACCCGGGCCCTGTCTGGACGTTGGCAGCCCTGCACGTCAGCAGGGCTCCACGCCTCCTCCTCAGGTCAGTTTGGGGCACACGCTGCCCTCGGCTTCCTGTGGTTGGTGATGGGTCTGAAGAGTGAGCCACTTGATGTCCATCTACTTGTATAAAGTCTCTCGGCTAGATTGTCCCCGCTTTCTTTCTGTCTGCTGCACAGTCTTTAGACCTAGAAGGAGGTGTCTGGGAGTCTTCCTCACTGGCTAGGTTATGTCTGCGTCCGAGGGAAGAAAGCTCAAAGCATTGTTTCCATTCAGAGAACCCAGTGCACTGCCTGTAGACAAAACGTTCCCATTGTAAGATTAAAATCACATCTGCAGGGAAGGATTATGCACAAAGACAGGAGCAGCATCTGATTTGTATGAGAATAAAAATAACTCATGTATACAAAGGAGCTTCAGAAAATTTGTGGGAGAGTGGACTGAAAAGATCATGGAATTTCCCCCTGACCTTCCTGAAGGCCTCTTGCCTGTGAGATGCTGTGGCTTCCTCGAGCAGCCAAGGGCAAAAGGAGCACCGGTGCCCATGTGTCCAGAGCCTCGTCTGTGTACTGCTCTTCCGGAAGCCCCGCGTTTGTACTAATGCTTTCCTGCCACAAACATTCCCTGAACATCCAGGGTGTATAGGGTGTTGTGCCCGGCGTGTGTCTCACACATGTGATGCCCGTGGTGAGGTGCCGTGAATTCAGCCCCGCCCCGGCTCCACCCCCACAGTTGTTTGAGCCTGTGGTTGTAGCCTTTGTCAGTCCGTCTCGCAGAGAGTCTTTTTCGTTGTCCCTCAGGGCTCAGATACCCACTGAGGGGAGCAGCTGGCCGTGGTCTTGGGGAGGGCCGTTCGTTGGGGGCCTTCTGAGGCACCTTGTCTCCAAGCCCACGGTGCCTGGGCCTTCGTCTCAAGTCACCTGGGGAGAGAGTGCCCGTGAGCTGCTCAAGCCTGCCTCTGCCCGAGGGACTGCCCTGAGTCCCAGCCAACTCAGGCTCAGGGTCTGGGCTCAGGGCATTACCCAGCTGCCGTCCTTTCTGTTTGGTGCCTGTCAGTCAACCCCAGCCTTAAGGCCACACCTGCTGGCTCCTCTCTCCGAGCTTGACTTCTGTCTGTGGGACCGCGCCGCCCCCCCCCCCCCTATACATACACTTTTAGAATGACTGTTTCCTACCATTGTGTCCACGCCATGTTTTCCCTTTCTGTTTTAAAGAAGTCTGTCCTCAGACTCGGACGGTGTGCACAGCCGTCCTGTCTCGAGATACTTCTTTCTGTTTGTTAGCAGAGCGCCTCTGCCTGTTCAAAGGGCTTTCAAGAATGTTCCGGAGTCCGCCTGCTCCCCCAGCCAGACACTGCACCAAAGCCACCCACTGCCGCAGGCAGCCCTGAGGGGCACAGTGGCTCAGAACCCACCTCCTCCCGCCGGTGTACAGAGGACTGGGGTTCAGCCGCAATGGCCCCAGGGCAGGCCCCAGGCAATGCCCAGTGGAGCAGGGTTCCTGATACCCTGGGAGGGGGCTGGTCGGCAGGACTGCAGGCCTCCTCAAGGCGGGAGACTAGGCACTCACTGGGCTCTCCTTTCCAGAAGCCAGACGTGAGGCTCTCCCGGGGCAGCATCGACAGGGAGGACGGAGCTCTCCAGGGCCTGGTGAGTGGTGTGGGGACTGGGTTTCGGGATCCCCTTGCACGGGATGGAATCCCCGCCCCATCAGCATGCTGGGCCCATCACCCAGAAGCCTGCCTGCCAGGGGGGCAGCAATCCCCTGTCAGCTGGGGGCTGGGGCCCAAGAGCAGAGGGCGGGGGTGTCCAAGTGTGCGTGCACCACTGTCAGCACACAGGTTGTCGTTTGCCAAGAGTTCAGTGCTAGTGTACATCAGCACTTACTGAAGCAAGATTACCCCACCCCCTTTTAAATTGTATTTATTTTGTGGTTGTGAAGAGTAGACTCGGAAAGCATACCTGTCTTCAGTCCCTACCTGTGCCATCTGGTGATGACACCAATGCTCCAGCCTCCTTTTCCAGGTGGCCCCTGCCCTGTTTGTATGAACACACTGGCCCTTGAGCATCCCAGGTGGTCTTCTAACCTGCTAGAGATGGCCCGGAGGCTCCTGGGGCATTACTCATCCAGGGTTCAGTGCCTGTGTTCTTGGGGCAGGCAGGTGGGGAGGTGGCTACACTCCAGTTGTTCACACCAGAACTCTTTTTTCCTCACAGACTGGAAATCAACACATCTATCAGCCTGTGGGGAAACCAGGTGAGTGGAGAGACAGTCTGCGCGTTGGGATGCTTGTGTATTTTACAGGGGTGCTGCTGTCTCAAGGTGTTCTGCAGTCCCCACCTGGCCATTTGACCCTTCTCCTAGACTGTTAATCATGAGTTTCCCCCGTGTCACCCGTGGCTGCAGAGGAGCCTCAAGAATGCATGGGTGCTCAGCAGGGGAGGTTTCCTTGTCTCGTGTTGATGTTAACCCCAGCACCTGTGTCCTTCTGCATTACCAGATCCTGCGGCCCCTCCAAAGAAACCGCCACGGCCTGGAGCCCCTGGCCACCTGGGCAGCCTGGCCAGCCTCAGCAGCCCTGGAGACAGCTACAACGAGGGTGTCAAGGTGGGCATCCAAGCTATGTGAGCAAACAGCTCACCAGGTGACGGGGTCCTGTGGTCCTGGTGGAGGCAGTCACAGGAACCTTGACTGAGAAAGTTCCCTTCCCTGTTTGTTTCTGCTCACTAGAGCTTACGAACTCAATCAGATCCTAACTTTCTGAATATTTTCCTCGGACAGAATGTTCATTTGCTTAATGTGTTAGACAGAGATCTCTAGAGAGACAAAACCAGATTGCTAGTAATTTTATATATATATTTATACAGGTAGATAGATATATGACACAAGAAATAAACAGTTAAATTATAAAGCAGTACAAATGGCTCAGTGCAACTCCCTCCCGTGAGAGTTGTGAGACACTGGCAGTCCTTCAAGTCTTGAGGGCCACCAGGTAGCCCTCTGTAGAGAGATTCACGCTATCCCGGCACAGGCAGCAAACAGCAAGGCAGGTCACCAACAGTCAGTCCCCAGCTCAAGAAATGTAAATGCCAATGATGTGGGGAAGCGGGTCTTGAAGGAACTTCAAATTAACACAGTCTATGGTTAGGTGTCCCACAGGTAGTGTAGCTTGCAAATTGAGTCACAGAACAAGCAAGGCAGACGCACACTGGTCTGATGATCAAAGAGCAAGAGATAAGAAAGGCGAGGCTTGCTGAGCGATTTATCTCTCCGCCCTTCAATGAACCCCACATGTGTTTATCGGCCAGGTTGGCACAATAAACTAACTACCTGACTTAAAAGTCCATTAGACCAGAACACTCCCTGTCTTCAAGTTCATAAAGGTAGCTCACTGGAGAATGTTTGTTAACTTTCCAACCCAGGAACAGAATCCTGTGCTTAGAGGTAGTGTGCCCCAATAAAGCCAGTTCTTTGGGAGCAAGGGACCACACGGCTTATCCATTGGCTTGTGGCCTCTTACATTCCTCTCCGCCTGAGTCCCTGAATGGGCAGGCAGCTGACGTAATCCACGTCTGGGATTCTCCTGGTCCTCTTAGGCCCTGCAGAATGCGGGGTGCTCTCAGCAAGCTGACAAGTAGGCTTTCCTCCTCTCCGCTCCGGATAGATGCCCCTCTGCCCACAGTACTGTAGCTCCCTCCTCACACCTAAGGTGCCCTCTCCTCACATGGGTGCCCTTCTCCCCACCTCACCAAGGACACCCTCCCCTCTCCCTGGAGGTCGTCCTCTGGCAGGCATCACCCCCCCACCCCCAGGATGCTGGCATCCCCTCACCTGAGTGGCCTCCCCACCCCACTCCCCTTGGAAGAAGCACAGGGAGTGTGACTTCCTGTGTCGTTTCTTTAACTAAATAAGGAAAATTGGTTCCTGAACTGCTCTTCATTTTCCTAAGCTGCAGGAGCAAACTGTAAAGAGGGCTGTGTTTATTATCGTGTAATGGAAGACCAAGGAAACCAAGTCTCCACTCAGAAGCCAGGTGTGCTTAGTGTTCACAGGGAGAGTAAGATAATGGGTCAGAATAATTGCAGAGAGCCTTCCAATAAGAATTTAAGCAGACAGAAGCCTTAAGGACAAACCGTGCTTTCAGGCAGATAGCGTGAATATCAGGCAGGGTTCGGGTTGTTCTGTCGCCCTTTCGTGCTACACACGTTCAGCGTGAAAAACAGGATGCTGTGCTTCCTTAAGTGAGGACTTTGAAAACTAGCAAATGTGAACTGGCCCTCTTCAGTCCTCTGCTGAGCAGAGGTCGTCCAGCAGGGCAGGGGAGAAGGAGCAGACACGCAGCTGTGTCCAGCGCTGTGTCAGCGGAGATCGTGATTCACCCAAATCTCAAGTCGCCCAGGCCTGCCTCGTGGCTCCTCGTTTGCCTGTGGATTCCGCAGGATGGGTAGTTTCTTAGGGCTGGCTCTGCGCGCCAGCATGCTAGCTTACGGGCACTGCTGGGTAGCCAAGGAGAACGTCCGGTCTTCAGGATCAGTCCTTCTCCTGGACTCCCCCTGCCAGCTTTCCAGGGGGCATTGTGACACCTTTTCTGATGGATGGCCATAGGGCAGCAGCCTTTGCTTTCTCCTGGCTGGCCTCTCCATGTCTCCTCATTTAAGCCTGTGATGGTCTCCCTGGGCAGCCTTGCACTGTGACCCCCCAGAGGACAGAATGCCACCGTCCCCTCAGACTGGCGTGACCGTGACCTCCTCAAGCCCTGCTGTCCACAGGGTGCACCTCCGGGCAGTTCTAGGTCAGGAGAAGAGGCCCACGTTCCCCAGTTCACTCCCCCCGGGTGAGCGTGGGGGAGACACATGAGCACCATCTGTGTGTGTAGAGTCACTTCATGGGTCTGCACAGTAAGTCCCTACGGTCATTAAGCACAGCCCCCAGACAGGACTGTGTGTTAGATGGTGTTGTGCACGTCCAAGGAGATGGGGGCAGGGGTGGGGCGGGGAGCACAGCTCCTCTCTCTCGGAGACCCCGTCCTGTCGGCCCGCTTGCTGCTTGCCGAGTGTCCCTCTCGAGCTTCGCTTGTGGCTCCCCCGTTGGTTGCTGCGCTGCAGGCACTGCATGCAGGGGGCCCTTGGGTGCTGCGCAGGCACCTGGGGGCTGGCTCCTTCCCATTCTGCTCATGGATTGTGACAGGGTTTTGTCTGCTGCCTCATTAATATTGTTTTTCTTTTTCCCCCCTCTCTCTGACCAATTTCTGTAACCTTTCCTCACCTTCCATCGACCTAGCCGTGGAGGGTAAGCACCTTGTGTCCACGTGTGTCTGTCCAGCCCTGCATGGGATGGGTGAGGGCGCTCTCGCTTGGTTCACTGCCCCGCGCAACCCACGGAAGCCAGAGCAGCCTGGACGTTGGTCTGAGTACGAACCGCGAGCGTCTGTACCTTGCCAGCCTAAGCTTGTCCTTCCCTCTTCCGCACCCAGGCTTGAGGACAGCCCGGATGGCATGAGCTCTTTGGGGCTCCTGAGCCAGGGCTAGCCCTGCGGTTCAGTCTTTTACAGACAGCTGGGGCCTCGGCAGCAGGCACACTGGTCGGTGATGCGGTGACTAAGCTTACATCTGGGAGCAGGAAAGTTGGCAGTTCCAACCCAGCATGCCCTTCAACGGGAGAGATTCGTGGCAGTTTGCTTCTGTAGAGATGGCGGCCCGGAACCCTGTGGAGTAGTTTGCCTGCGGGCCCACTGTGTGTTGGAACCTACCCCACACAGTGTGGGGCCAGGGTGGCATACTGAACAGCTCTAGTTACTGCTGGCTCCTCTGTGCCCCGTCTATGGGGCGGGCACCTCTACATGACACTTCATTGCCCCTTGCTCAGGGCAGGGGACTGGGGCTGCACACACACACCCCACCCCACCCCGTGAGCACCCCATACTGGCAGGAGGGCACAGGCCCCCTCCTGTGCTGACAGCCACTGCCTTGTGGGGGTGGCAGTCCCACCCAGTGAGGACTCCGCGATCAGTTCAGTTAGCGGAGGAACACGGGAAGCCTCCACTGTCCGCTGCCCACACGGAGGGGGAGTCCATGTGCAGGATGCTCGCCCCTTTAGCTAGATCCCTTGCTCCCTCTAAACTCTGAACCCTTGGAGAGACATCAAATGCACGGGGTCTTCCTGCTGTGGATGATTCTGGGGGAGCACCCAATCACTTCTTCCTGACAATCGTAGGCTTTCCGTGTCGGTGTTGGGTTCCACCCCTTTTCCTTTAACTGAGCTCAAAGTGAGCACAAGATACTGGCTCATTGATTGGTCACCCTAACCCTCAAATCGTTCTGCGGAGCCACTTTGACCTCTCTTAAAGGCCTGTCCCAGTGAAGCTGTGGTGGGCGCTGCCTCTAGTGGCAGGCAGAGGCATAGCTGGCTCTGTGTCTGCAGCTTCAGCCCCAGGAGATCAGCCCTCCGCCCACGGCCAACCTGGACCGCTCCAACGACAAGGTCTACGAGAACGTCACCGGCCTGGTGAAGGCTGTCATCGAGATGTCCAGTAAGATCCAGCCGGCCCCGCCCGAGGAGTACGTGCCCATGGTGAAGGTAGAGTGCCCGGTCTCTCCCCCTCTGCCCACGGGAAAGCCTGTGAGGGCCATGTCTAAGCTGCCCGACCGCCGCCCTGGGTGCAGAGCCCCTGACTAGAAAGACCAGAGAGCTTCAGAAAGGGCCCTGGGAAAATTCCGTACCTCCCCACCCCGTTTCCCCACGAACTTTGTGAGGCCTGGTAGAATCCAGAGTGAACAAAAGGTCTTCAAGGGGTACCAGCACGTCCTCAGGAAAGGCCTGGCCCCGCACTGTGACTGCAGTCATCGTGTGATGGTCATCATGTGATGGTCATTGCCAAAGCTGGCGTGTGTGCTGTCCATCCGGGTGGGCTAAGCTTTTGGAGTGACTGTTTGCGGGTTGTTTGTTGCACTTGTTTTTTGTGTGGAAGTGTGCGGCGTGTACAGGGATGTGTTCAGATCACGGCAGAGTCAGCGCCTCCAGCACACGTGGGATTCAGTCACTCACTCATCTTTACCTCCTGCCCAGCAAGGAGCCAAGTCCTTTCCCCGTTATGCTCCTGGGGGCTGGTCCTGGGGCTTCTTGGGAAGGAGGCGGTGTGAGCAGCGCCTCAGCCACCGCTGTCTCTGGCAGGGCCATGGCATACATGCCGGCATTCTTGGGCACCGCCACACTGCTGGGAGCGGCTGCCTGCCTCTGAGGTTTCCTGGGAAGTGCCACCGTGGTGGCTGCCATCCTGTAAGCACAGTTCTTAGGGTGTACTTGCGTGACTGCACAGACAAGGTTTGTGCACACCCGCGCACACCCACAGGCTCAGCAGCAGCCCCAGGAAGTAACAGGACGGTGCTGGCCTGTCCATTGAGACGCTTGGGGTGATTCCATAGCAGCTACTTTTTTTGTCCTTTTCCCACATTTTTATTGACACATAATCCACATATCATACAATTCAAAGGTTCATTTGCTCGTTTACATCAAGAAGAATTGTACAATCATTACCCCCATCAATTTTAAAACATCTCTGCCCCTCCACACACACACACCACTCCCAGCACCATGGTTAAATCCTCTCACCCTCTCCAGCTCCCACCCCCAACCCCCATGCCCCTACAGACCATCACATCAGTTACTGTATGCATCCGTGTCTTCTGTGCTGCACAAACTGGGAAGCTTGACAGAAACAATAACAAAGCTAATGTGGTAAGGATAAAATAATAATGATATCAAGATAAAAATACAACTAATGAGTAAGAAAGAAAAGACCACCATTGGTATCTAAAAAGGCAGGGAAGAAATATTTGTCGTGGTACACGCAAGAGATACTTACTTGCACACAGAAGAAATTCAGGTTGGGTCAATAGGGAGGTCAGCTGACCCAGAATCAAGTCTGATCCAGCCCAATCAAGAGGACAGCCATCTCTGGCTGATCGTAAGGCTGTTCGAGACCCTTGCTTTTGGCTAGTGAGGTCTCTCGGGGTTTAATCTGACTAGTTACTCCGAAGATGGGTTTTGGGCTCCCACTGTCCTCCTTAGCCTTCTACCAATTGGATGTTCATCATTTTAGCTCTGATACTGTGCCCGTCGTCATATTTGAATTTTGTAATTGTCGTCTTTGGATCACACAAACTGCTTCTTCTGCGTGGACTTAATTGACTCCTCGATTAGATGGCTGCTTATGTGCATTAAGTCTTTAAGACCCCAGACATTATTCCGATTGACAGCTGGGCACCATCTGCTTTCTTCACCACACTTTGCTGTAGCACCCTTATCTTCAGTGATCATTCCATGAGGGTGAGAATCGAACAGGACCCTGTGATCGGAACTAACTGTTTTAGGATTGGGGCTAAAGTTCAGTGGGGGCCCAGCCTCCATCTGCTTGTCCCTGGGATGTGCGTGACTTGGGTTTACTTTGGCAGCCATAATAAGACAAACTCAAAGTCCCATAAGTCCATCCTCACTAATAAAAGTACGACATTGTCAATCATCCCGGTGGGGTGTAAGGCGATTGCACTGATCACACCGTCTGCCCTCCCAGGGACACAGCCCTCCAGATGCTGGTGGTGGGAGGGTCTGTGTGAGTACAGTTCCGCCTTGAGGCGCTGCTACGAGGTGCTATCCGACAGCTCAGTCTCCCATTCGATGGAGCTCGGTCTACTCACTGTGGGGACTGGGGCCAGGGGGACCTTCTTGGATCAGTTCTTCCACGTGTAGATCCCTGCCCAGCAGGTCAAAACCTGTCAAGCCACTGTGAGGTGGGCATTGAGGTACGGACTATATGGTGATTCTGGCCAAGCTTGGGGTCCCTCCACTTCCACAGCCCCTGGTCGGTCACTTTGCTTCCTCTCACAAAGAGTAACATCTGGCCAAAGCAGCTACTTGTTAATCCATACTTTGGCCAGATGTTACTCTTTCTTTTGTGTACACTGACCCAAGAAAAAGACCGCATTCTGTGTGCAAGAGTTTGTTCTTATAAGAATGACATCGGTGAATCCTTAGGGCAGCGCGCTGTAATGGCTCTAGTCATGCTTTAAGGCGGCAGTCTTTTACCTTGACTCGACACTCCAGAAATAGCACAGGGAGGAGGGGGCTTGCGCCCTGTCAGTGGGTAAAGTTCAGGAACAGGAGGGGCTCCTGTGACACTGCCCTTGCCCAGCGCTGATAGTGGGGCCACCTGAACGTTGCTGGGAGAGAATAAGCCAATGGGACCCCCTCCTTCCGCGGTTGTCTAGGTGACCAAAGGGGAGCAGCCTCTGCTGGGGCACAGCAGATGAGAAAGAGAAGGAAACCAGGGTCCCTGCTTCCTGCCCCCGGGCCAGGCTGAGGGGAGGGGGCAAGAGCGCTACCCGTTCGGAGGCCCTTCCTGCTGGGAAGAAGACCTTCACAACTTAGAAGGTGGAACTTAGGACCAAGGAAAAGGAGGGGGTTCTCGCTAACATGGGTGGGGGGTGGAATGAAGCAGAAAGAGCTGCATTCGTCAAGTTCTATCACTTCTCTCAGTTTGATTTTGGTGACAAACATCTTTGTTTTGTTCACATACGTGCACATCTATGTCAGATGAAACACAGGCCATTTCAACATGCTTCCATGTGATCCTTCCATGGCGTTACCGCATCGGCACCACCACCACGCCCCTCCCTCTAACCCTGCTGCGCGGTCCTTCTCCCGCAGGAAGTCGGCCTGGCCCTGCGGACGTTACTGGCAACCGTGGATGAGACCATTCCTGTCCTGCCGGCCAGCACGCACCGGGAGGTGAGTGTTACTGCCCTCCCATCCCTGCTACTGGCTGGAGTTGGCCCTGCCAAGACCCTGCTGGCCTGCCTGGGACAGGTCCTCACGGCAGTGAGAGATGGTGGTCCCGACTCAGGCTCACAAGTCCACGCTAGGAAGCAGGGCCGCCACAGAAGTGTTGCTTCGAAATGGGCACTCAGCTGCCCAGCACAGGACAGGGAAGACTGTGCCATTAATTCTTCCTGAAGGTGCCAGGGTTTGCTTGTGATCCTGGTTCCTCCTAAAGGCTCCCTCGCTGCCCTCAAGCCAGTGCCAACTCAGAGCGACCCGTGGGGCAGGGCGGACCTGCCCTGTGGGTCTCCTAAACTTGAATGGAAAGCCTCTTCTTTCTCCAGAGGATCGGCCTGTGGTTTTAAACTGCTGACCTTGCAGTTAGCAGCACAATGTGTAAAGACCCCTCCTGTGTTGCGCACTGGAAAGGGAACAAAACCCTCAGCAGCGCTGCTCCGCCCCCACTGCTCTGCCGGGCCGCCCGCCGCCCTCAGACCCCTCCTGCAGGCCCTTTTCTCCCACGCTGTGAATCCAACCCTGGTCAGACTCCCAAATCTTGGGGGGAGACCTGCCTGTGGCAGTCAGGGGTGCTGTGTGGCCCACACACACCTGTTGCTCTCCAAGTCTCAGGCTCATTCTTGCTTTTCTGCCCTCACTGCCGCTGCCCCTCGTCCTGAATGACCACCACCCTCCCTACAGCTCCCACACAGCCCCCGGGGCTAGCTGTCTACACAGTCCGGGCCCTGTGTCACTTGAGTCCCAAATTCTCTTAGGCCTCTGTTGCCATGGTCTTCTACAGGGTGGGCCTTACGTCACGCAACCCAGAAAGCCCTTCTCCCCTTGGCCAGCCTTCCCTGCGGTCTTGCCGCCTCTGTGTGCACTTCCCTGCCTGAGATACCTGCCCACCCGCCCTCACTGTCGCTTCCTGTTCTCCGGAGAGTCCTTCCAGGTCTCCTCTGTGTAAGAGGCTCCTGGAGGATTTGTCCCAGTGCAGCTGGGTGCTGGGTCCATGGTTCTCCCGCAGGCTGGAGCACAGACACATCCGGTTGGTTCGTTCTTGTGTCCACATGCGTGCCCAGTGCTCGTTAAAGAGCAAGGGGACAGGCATCCCCGGGCGGGATGCTCCTGCACACCAAGCTCTTCTTTTCCCGATGGGCAGCACTTCAGTCTGAGCGCTGCTTCCGTCCACATGGCCCGGGTGGCAGAGCCCAGCGCCCTTTGAGGCAGCTGAGCCGTCAGGTCACCGCAAGGCCGTGGTGAAGAGTGAGTTGTTCGAGAAGGAAGAGCCCTTCTCGGGAAGGCAGGACCCAGGGTTTTGCCTCCGTGTCTCCAGGAGTGGACTTTGATAGGTGGGCCGTGCGTCTCCAAGCCACTGAGGTGAACATGGTCTGAACAGTGACAACACGCAGCCACCCAGTGAGGAAGCTGGCCAGCAGGGAGAGTCGGGTGTGTGCGCACAGCTGCACACACGTGGCAGGCTGAGTCCTGGAAGAAGCTGACTGGGCATCTTTCTGCTTCTGAGGAGGGCTTGTTTGTGAGGAAGAGAACAGCTCTCCTGGAGGTACCTTGTGTGCTGAGGCCCTTCCTTGTCTCTGTCCTTGCAGATCGAGATGGCCCAGAAGCTGCTGAACTCTGACCTGGGGGGGCTCATCAACAAGATGAAGCTGGCCCAGCAGTATGTCATGACCAGCCTCCAACAGGAGTATAAGAAGCAGATGCTGACAGCCGCGCACGCCCTGGCCGTGGACGCCAAAAACCTGCTGGACGTCATTGACCAGGCACGGCTGAAAGTGCTGGCGCAGACGAGGCCACACTGAGCCCGGCTGGGGAGCCGGCCTCCCCGGGGTGGGAGAGCGCCTCTCGAGACATTCCCTGGCCTTCCACCAGCACGGAGGGGCCAGCCCCGTGCCCTCTGTCGCCAGCCCCTTGGCTCCAGCACTCCTGCTCCCGCGTCGGTTCTGCCACACCTGGGTCGGGCTGGTCTTTGTTTTGTTTCTTTGTTTGAATCCTGGGTTCAGAAGAGTTGGGGATCCCAAGTGTGGCACTTCTCTGGAGCTGAAGCCAGACCTGAGATCAGAGGTGTTTAAAGGGATCGGCCAAGGGCTGAGCTGTGCCTGGGCGACAGAAGGTGTCTCTCAGAAGAAGAGAGGATGACGAGAAGAATTCAGGGAAACCCGCCGGGCTGAGAATTCTTTTGCCTACCATAGAATTATTACCCAGACTGCAGTATGCTACTACCACTTTACAAAGAAAGAATAGAAAAGCTATATTTTGAAGACTTGAGTCATTTCAGAAAGAAAAAAACCAACAAACATGACTGACGGTGACGCTCCGTCCCTGCTGCCTTTCCCTCACGTGGTGTGTGAGGCCTCTGGTTGGGAACGAGCTGGGGACACAGCTCAGGATTCCTGTCACCTGTCACCCGAGTCAGTCGTGGGCCAGTTTTTTTGTAGCAATGCTATTTCTCTTGGGAGCAGCAATGCTTTGTACCAGAGCACCTCCACACTGCATCGAGAAGCCCCATCACCTAGCCCATTTTCCACGTTTATATAATTTATACAGAAAGATTAAAGCCATGTTGACGATTTCACAGCCACTGGAGCTAATTTCCCCTTCATCGTGTCCGTCTGTCTTCCCAGGAGAGGTTCGAGCAGAGCCGGGTTTGGTTTTCCTTGGCATCCGCTGGTACCATCGATTCTGTTAATCATCATTTGGAAAACTACACCCTCCCTTTAGTTTGACGGGGGCTATAAATTATTCTCAGGAAGAATATGATGAACTGTACAGTTACACTGAGCTGTTGAAAAGGTGTTGCCAGTAAAGTCCTTGCTGTCATCGCCTGCCTGGCTGTCTCTCTGCAGACCCGTTTACAAATTCCGGGGGCGGGGTGGGGTGGGGGCTTGTCACACCCACTCGTTTCTGTTCTTTCTTTGTCTTCCAGGAAAGGGTTAGAACTTTAGCAGACAGATGGCCTGACCCAAATTCACCTTTTCATTCAGTCTTGACTTACCCCACTGCTGTGGTGTCAATGGGTTTGAACCGCTGGCCTTGTATCTAGCAGTGCAAAGTCTAACCCACACTGCCACCAGGGCTCCTCGGTCTTAGTAAAGATAAAACTCTAAGAGTAGCTGACTTTTCACACAGGAAATCTTCTCTGTGTGGTTCTGAGAGTGTAGGAACCGGTCCAGCCACAAGGAACTTGTGAGCCTGGGTGCGGACAGCAGGGTAGAGGTGGGAATCTGGAGCCAGAGAGCAGAGGTCCAGGGAGCGGGGATCCCAAGTGGAAGAGCTGGAGGAACGTTCTCCCGATGCACATGTCATCATCCTACAGGCGTGAGTGGTTCCTGCCTTGGACATACATGATGTCTTGGGTGGGGGTGGGGGGTCAATGAAACACGTTTTCTATTAGACTCATGTTCTTCGGTGCCCTGCACCTCAGTTTCCGCATCTGTAAAGGAGCAGTTTTGAGAACTGGGTTTGCCAAGCCCTGTCTAGGTGGCCAAGGTCTTCATGCGTTGTGAGCACCCTGCCTTGCATCTCTCTGGCCGCATCCTTGGCCTCTGCCCACTGGATGCCGGTAGCATACTCACCCCTGGGGTGACACCCTAAGTTCTACGCTTCATGTGCCATCCCCTCCCCCTTGCCTGTTCAGCGCCCTGCCACAGTGAGTTCCCAGGCCTGAGCGTCCCCGGCAGCTAGGCCTTGCGGTGCTTCTCTTCCTCTAGCGCGGCGGCCCTTGCATACAGCTCCTCATCGGTGGTGACCCCAACTGTACAATTACTTTTGTTGCTACTTCCCTGTAATTTTGCTACTGTTACAGATCGGGCGACCCCTGTGAAAGGGTTGTTCAACCCCCAAAAGGGCTGTTGGGATCCACAGGTTGAGAACCACTACTCTAGTGGGAAGAACTTCAGGGGGGTGCTCTCACACCTCCAGCCCATCACCCCGAAAAGCCAAAGAAGTGCATTCCCTTGAGAGCTGGTGTGAGGCAGATTCTGAGCAGGCAGCTCATAGCTGCTGAGCCGGTGGGAGTTCTCAGCCAGCGAGGACCCAAGCAGGCCAGTGGTGAACAGGACTGTGGTCACAGACTCTCAGAAAGACCTTTGGGCGACTACTGTGAAGACAACAGGACCGGGAGCCTGCAGTCCAAACGCCCAGTGGTGCGCTCATCAGAACGAAAAGGCTCTGCGTCGACTCCCGTGGTTACTAGCTACTGCTTCGATGCCAACTGCAGCAGGCCTGGTGCCATGGAATGAAACGTTGCCCGTTCCTACATTGCCGTCCTCACAATGCTTCTCTCTCTCCGCCCGTGGTAGCCACTGTGTCCCTCCACCTCCTGGAGGGTCGTCTTCACTGACCCTTTACCAAGCATGGTGCCTCCTCCAGGAGCTTGTCTCTCCTAGCAGCACGGCTGCGGGTATGGAAGGAAGTCGCCTCGTCCTCTGTCGAATGAGCATTCTGCCCGACTTCTAAGGTGTGCGCCTTCTGGAAGCACGTGGGGTCGCCACTGGGCTCCAGATTTTACCTTGGAGGCCTCCGTTCCCCGTCTTCCTTACTCATCTGCCTTTCACGTGTATGTGGGCACCTAAAAATGCCACCCTCGAGTGTGGACTCCAGTCCAAGGCAATCCTTGACAACGTCCATCTTTCCCTGGTTCACCGGGACATCTGGATCCAGTTGTGCATCCGTAATGAAGGCTGCTGTCGTTGGTCGTCAGTAAGTGCTTCAAGTCATTGTTACTGAGCCTTCTTCCGGCCCTGATGCCTCATTCTTCATATAGTCCCAATGTCTGTGATCATTTGCTCAGCATGCATATTGACTAGGGGCGGGTGAAAGGGTCCAACCCTAACACACCTTTCCTGACTGCTAACCATTCAGTATCCTGTTAGTCATTCTGTTGACAGCTCTGTCTTCGTCCCTATACAGGTTCCCCATGAGCATAACGATGTTTTGGAATTCCCATTCCTCACAGTGTCATCCATAATCCACTATCCACACAGTCAACGGTGTTTTCATAGTCAGTACAACACGGGCAGACATCTGTGTAGGATTCTCTACTTTGAGCTAAGATCCAACTGACGTCACCAATGATGGCCCTTGTACCACTTCCTCTTCCGAGTCCCGCTTAAAGCATCTTTCAAGATTTACTTGGATCACCTTTCTTTGGGATGAGCACAAACACAGCTCCCTTCTAGTCGGACGTGTAGCTGTCTTCCGGACGTCTTCGCAGAGGAATACCGCCAGTCCTGCAGTCACTTGTGGAAACATCTTCAGTGGTGGTCTGTCAAGTCTTAAAACCTTTTCCACCACTACCTGTGTACAGCGTGGGCTTCTTCCTGCGGGGCTGTCTGTTCTCCATCGTCTCTGTTCTTGACCTCCTGAGATGGTAGAATGACCAGAGCTGTTTTGGTCCAGTGGCTCAGTGTGTTTCTTCCACCTTCATTGGAAGCTTTCATGCATCACCTCGTATTTTGCCCATAGAATGCACACCACGCAGACTCGAGGATGAGCCGACCTGGATATCAGCCGAGGCACCTGATTTTGCCACAAAAACTGCGTTAAAAAAATGTGCTGGAAACCCAGGCTTAGACACGAGTGTCCACAGTAACGGTTGCAACTCGGAATCCTTTCCTTGAGCTTTTCCAGCACGAGCCCTGCCGAGCAGGCCCATCCCTTTCCTTCCCTGACTCGATGCAGTTGCGTGTCTCGTTGCCGTACTTTATGTTGTCTTCTTGAACCACCGTTAGAATCTTCACTTTAGCTCTTTACTTCATGGTGTCTCCCCTTGGCTGGAGCTGCTCCACCCTCCAGAGAGCCTCAGAAGCCCTCCTGCTGTCCACCTGTCTGTCTGTGTGTGCCGCCACCCCATACCTCCTGACCTCTGGGGTTCTGTCTGTCTGAAGGTTGGGGTCATCAAAGAAACTCCACAAGATGGGGGGCTTTAGCCAGCACATTTTTTTCTCACCATTTAAGAGGCTGAAAGTCTTGGGAAGCATTTATCTCTGTCAGCTGTGGGTCCTGGGTGAGCTCCATGCAGTGTGACCTCTCCATCTCTGCTCATTTGCTTCTGTGTCTTCTCTCCATCTAAAATGCGCTGGACACTGGTCTGGCCTCATGAATCTAGCAAAGGAATCCCTATTCCCAAGTGACATCATCCACAGATTGGAGGGGGGTGGTGTTGGAAGGCACAGTTTAGTCCAGAACGCAGGCTGAGGAGGACAACTACCGGAAAGCAACAAACCACGTGAAACATTTGAAAATTTGTGTCAGGCCCAGCCCATGAATGAATGAAAGGAAATCAAGGTAAGCCTGTTGACAGCCTCAACCCCTCTTCCTCCTTCCTGTTTGTTTAGCATGAGTGTGAAGGGTCGTTTAGAAAGCTGGGTACCCAGAGCGGAATTCAGTCCATCTCTTACAAAGTGAACCCAGCCGCGCTGGTAACTGGGGCCCTGATTCAGAGACGGGGTACCCCCCAGACAGCAAGTGCTGTTCTTGCTTGGCACCTCCTCAACTCTGGTACTCAACCCCTGCTTCAGCACATTAATTGCCACCCCCACCATGTGACATCACTTACCGCACTTTCCCTCCGCTTCCTGTGTCCAGTCCTCCTAAGCTTTCTAAACTGTCCTTAGTCAGTGCTGTCCTTTGATTTCAAATGGTCTATGATTCTAAGATACTTGCTTCCTTTACAGTTGGCTGGTGAGATTTCGGTCAGCCTAGTAAGAGTTACAGGTCCTGGATAGTAGTCCTTGATCCCTCCACTCTGTCCATGTGTACCATGGTCGATTGCATGTGGCTCTGATTCTTCTGGTGAAGCTATGCTACTGATCATGTGACATCCCAGCATGGCTACCCAAGGTGAACAGGTTTCAGCTGAGCTTACAGACTTAACAGACTCCGCAGAAGAAGTCTTAAGGGATCTGCCACTGAAAACCTCAGGAACTGCGGCCAACGTTACCAGATAGGGTGCAGGAAAAGGAGGTCCTCCGGGTGGGTCGGAAGGCACTCGGGATGCTGGGACACGGCTGCCTCCTCAAACTTGAGTTGGTCTTCATGATGTCGATGGAGTAACGCTTTCAAGACCTTTGTCTGCTGGCGGGGTGTGACTCCCAGTGAGGAGGAGCAGCTGCAAGCATCTGTTAATAAGCAGAACTTGCA